GCAGCAGATGCAAGTACTTACAGAAGGCTCCAGTCCTTCATTACCTTCTCTCCACGTCTCCCAAAACCAGTCTTTCATGATGCTTTCTTCAGAATCTTTGCAGCCATCATGTGGCAAAGGCAGCAAGTACCTCACCTACCACTCTTGTCATTCAAGGCTTGCTTCAGTGAGCTTACCACTGTAGGCAGGCAGGTCTGAATGACAGAGCCAGAGAGTCCAGGCCACACATGTGCAATAACCCTTCCAGCTATTTACCAATTAGGTTAAGTCACTCCTTCCCTAGGGAGCCATGAATTGAGAAGATTGGAGAACATCTGATGGTAGTTCCAGGTTTGTGAGGCCTGAAGCTTATATAATTTGGATGGTGCTCTTTAATGAAAAGAATTATAAGTGTAAAATTAAGTAGAAGGATTGGAAGAGGCATGGGCAAGGAAGGCCCTGAAACTTAAGTGTTATAGCTCTATATTCTGGTCTTGAGAAGGTAGAAATACCTATTTTAGTGTGTACATCTGTTAAGATGCCCTCAGGTACAATAAATTAACTTGTAAGCAAACCGACTTGACCTAGCTTAAATAATAAAGAAGATTAGTAATTCACATTAATAAAGAGTCCAGTTGTCGGACAGGCTCTGTAATTGGTAGATTTAGTGCTTAATAATGTCATAATGACCCAGTTTCTTTCCATCTCTCCTGTGCTGTCCACAGCATCTATTCATCCTTAGGTGGCTCTCTTCAAGTTCACAGCATGAATTCCGGCAGCAATGGAGACTACTAACTTATTCTCTCCTATTAGAAGAGAAAGCACCTCAATCATGGAGCCAAAGCCCATAGCCTCAAACCATGGCCTGTTGGATTCAAAAGTCCAAATGACTAAAGCTGAAGTCAAGCACTAGGGTGAGAGGGATAGGGTAACTTTAAACATCAGGCCAACCAGGGAGAGCCAACCTCGACGTAAGACTAAGGATGAGGATATGGCTCATCCAAAGCATGTGGCTGCTACATAATGGAGGCGTAGAACTGAGGTTGGTGAAACATCCACAATATTAAAACAGGTTAGAATGTGGAGTAATGAGCTAAATGTATTGAAACTTTTCAAGATATTCATCTAGTTTACACTTTCACCACCATCTCCATTATTCTCCACCATAAGACTGAAAGCCCCAGGAAGGCAGAGATCATTTGTTGATTGGTTACCAAGCACCTAGAGTAAGTGCTCAAAATTTATTGAGGGAATACATGAATTACCATAAACTTATGAGAAATGACTGGTTGCAGCATTAACTATAATGGTGTATGTAAAAATGTAACTAGGGAGGAATACGAAGTCAAAAGAACAAGAAGATTTAGGGATTATTGTATTTGAGCTGAAATGACAAATAATTTTCAGGTCAGAACCATGTCTTATCAAAGATAGTGGAAATAGGATAGATACATGGCTCTTCAAACTCTCACATGTCAGAGATTCAATTAAGACATCAAAAATGTTTCACAAAGAAACAGAAAGATAAGTTAAAAGTGAAGGATAATTAAGATAACTATTTTATTTTGCCACTATATGGGGGGCGGGTGATTAGATTAAATGTGAGCACTAAATTTGTAGGCGTGTAATGGAACACCTTGAGCTGAAGGTATGATTTAACACTTTTTCTTACTGTGGTAAAGTTATTGGAGAAAAAGAATCATGTAACAATTTTGCATGACCTGATATTCCATTTTTTACAACTTTTATTCTCCTGAAAAGATGGACAAAAATCTAAGTTCTGAAACTCAGATTACATTTTAAAAATACTAAGCCTTTAAAAAAATTACAAAACTCATTAGTAAATACTCTAGTAAATGTTTATTTTTAGAACTGAAATATTATCTCCATATTCCTTGATCTTCCAGCACAAATTTTTGAATATTCAATTTTATAAATCAAGTCATACCTGTTCTGGGCAATTGTGGTGTTATATGTGGTAGACTTCATTTAGGGTGGGGTGGTTAGATTCCAATGATTTTAAAACAAGGCTCCACCTCAGGAACCCAGGAATGTTAGGTAGGAGATTAGAAAAGGTCCACAGCTTGCAAAGAACTTCAGCTATTCTGATAAACAATTTGATTACTGATGCTGACGCTTGCATACTAAACAGGTTATCCAAGTGTTATACTTGATTCTTGCTATGAAGGTAGTATTTGAACCACCCTTTCCACTGACACAGTCACCTATTTGTACATTTAAATACCATTTTCTATGAATATGTCGGTATGCTACAAACCATGGCAAAGCTTCCTATGACCGCATGCCTTGCCTTGGCTTTCTGTACATTTCTAGTATTGAAGAATGGAGTAGTTTAAAAAAAAAAAAAAAAAGATGTGTAAGAAAAAACACACATATAATGGTATAATTTTAGGGAAATATATTAAAATTTTTAATTTGTCTGAAAATAGAATCAACATACATAAAAGGCTTTTGAAAGTTAATGCAAAATTATATGAAAATTGTGCCTAAAAATATTATGCCAGCTCTTTTCCTCCCTGGCTGCTTAAGGGTTGGCAGCCATCATGAATGACATGGTAACTATCTGGACCAGGCAGTTCATGACCAATAGACTATTTCAACAGAAACAAATGGTCACTGACATCCTTCATCCTGGAAAGGCAACAATACCTAAGACAGAAATTCGAGAAAAACTAGCCAAAACGTACAAAACCACACCAGAAGTTATCCTTGTATTTGGATTCTGAACCCATTTCAGTGGTGGCAAGACAACTGGCTTTGGCATGATTTACGATTCCTTGGATTATGCAAAGAAAAATGAACCCAAACATAGACTTGCAAGACATGGCCCGTATGAGAAGAAAAGACCTCAAGAAAACAGTGAAAGGAATGCAAAAACAGAATGAAGAAAGGGGGGCTGCAAAGGCCAATGTTGATGCTGGCAAAAAGTGAGGTTGAGATTGGACAACAGAAGGAGTAAAGATTCGTCCGTGACTTTATGTAGTGACTGAGAAGATTTTTCATGAGAAGACTACTAAACTAAGAACTTTTATGTTAAAAAAGGGAATATTATGCCAATCGACATAAGTTTTCTGCATAAAGAATCTGAGTTTTCCACACAACCTAACTACCAATTAATAGGGTGGGGAACAGCAGGCATGGTGAACTCTTAAGTATGCGGCATGTTTAAAGTAACTTTAGTAGTATTTAAGGCAAATAATGTTCAAACCAATAGCTATTTATATGTTAAAAGATGGGAATCCTCTACTGACAGTTATTTTAAGGTCCACGTTCATTCGACCTATCTACACATTACACCTTTGTCCAGAATGAAGCCCAGGTATTTACAATGGCTCCTAATGGCCAATGTAATCTGCTCTACACGCCTTACTTCTCAGACTTCATCTATTTCTTTTCCCCTCTTCCTTCTGCTTCAGCCATCTTGACTTCCTTGCTTTAGCTGAATATGCCAGGTACACTCTCACATTTAAGCCTTTGTACCAGCTGCTCCCTCTGTCTGGAATACTCTTTCTTAGGCATCCATAAGACTACCTTTCTCACCTCCTTCAGATCTCTGCTCAAAGGTCAATTTCTCCATTAATGCCTATCCTGTCCATCTTCTTTAACATTGTGACTCCCTCCACTCTTAATTTCCCTTACTCTGCTTTTTCTTCATAACATTTATCACCTTCTAATATCCTATATAAATTTTCTTATGTATGATGTTTTTGTACATTTCTCATCTAGATTATAAACCTTGTGAGGGCAGAGCTCTTCCCTGCTTATTCTCAGTTGTCTGGAGAAATGCTTGTCACATGGTAGGTCAACGATAAATATATTTTGAATTAATGAACATTTCTGTGATCTGCTTGCTTACTGTTGAATCAGGAACCACTTTATGTTTCAAAAGTCTAACTTCCTCCTCAAAGAGGAATGCTATCACCTACCAAAAAAAGTCTAAAATCAAAAATACGAAAACCCCCCAAACATCAAATTCTCATTTCCCAATCTCCAATGGAAGATTGTTTTACTAAGGAAGTATTACAAATGGGTAAAATTGCAATTTCACACACACACACACAAGAAAAAAATAAATATATAAAGATGTTAGTGACAGTATTCTGGTTTTTACAGAAACATTAAAAAAAAAATGCTAGTTAGAATGTCAAAGAGACTCACTCAATCAGAAAGTGGAACCCAGAGAGTAGGATTTCCTGTTGGGTTTTTAAGTAACTCATCTTCCCCGGACGACATCGTCAATAGACGACAGAAATACGAAACAAATACGTCTGTAAGTCTACTTGTTTTTCAGATGCAGGCTACCCTCCTCCCAGGTTTATCTCTGCTCTGTCAACCAAAAGCCCTTCATAGTTAGGTGAAAGCACACAGCCACTGAATGGCTGAATACATCAGTGAAGGAAGGTTCGCAGTTCTATCTGGTCATTCCACCTGTGTCCAAGCGCGAGCAATTGAAGCCTAAATTCTGTGATTTGTCAGCTCTGCTGTGAAAGCCTAAATGGGTAATTCACAGCCTTGGGTATCCGTGGGATTAGGGAGGATTAACCCCGCTCCCGGCCCCTGACACCTGAGCCTGTCAGGATGAATAACCTCACTCACTTCAGACCTGCTTTCCTCCTGCTCCGGGCAAAGATGGATCGGAGTAGCAGGTCAGGCTGCATTTTAAGAATCCTTGAGAGCTGGGTCCGTTTCATGAGCATTTGGCACAGAGTAGCCTGAGCGCAGACCTTGCCCTGGGCCGTTTGGGGACGCTGCACAGGCGGCTCCAGCCCCAGAGAGGTACGGGATCTGCCGCCTCCGTGTCACTCTCGGCCAGGACCTGAGGGAGCCCCCACCCCTAGGTTTCGAGGTCCGGCGCGGGGCTCAGCAGGACACGACCCCGAGAGGAGAAGTTCCTCAACCACACCCGCGGGGCGGGGCTCTGGCTCGGCCCAACTACTGCCCGCGGGAGGGGGGTGTCTGGCTAACAGCACGGGCCTAACGCGAGCGCGGACTGCCATCCTGCGGGTCCCTCCTCCACCCCGCGGGACCCTCCTCCATCCCGAAGGCTCCCCTGCTCCTGCCGCCCTTTCCGCGACACTGAAACGTCCCGTCCTCTTCTTCCTTTCCCGTATCCTCTGAGCCCTGCCCACCTCCCGCCTCGCGTGGTGCGGTCCTGGTCCCAGGTCACACGGCGGCGTGGGCGCGGCCTGCTCCGGGCCCGGAGGTTCCTCTCGCTGCTGGAGCAAACATTTTGGAGCGGCGTTTGCGGCTGGGACGATGCTGGCCTGCAGTCGCCTCACCTTCATCTTTCTGACCGTGGCCGTGCCCTGCGCCCTGTCGCAGCACGCGCCGCCGGTGAGTGAGCTCCTGACCAAGGCGCGGAGAGTGGTGTGCAGGGGTGGAGGGCGCAGGTGCGCGCGCGGCGGGGAGAGGGTTGATGTCGGGAACACCTGCTCCAGGCAGCATCCTTACTGGGGTCTGTGGTTTCCTGCGCCGGGGTGTGGGCGAACCTCACCCGGGATTGATTCAATACAGCTGAAGGAAGAAAACCTTTTAGGGAAATCCTAATTTCTGCAGAATGTTGGTTGTGATTTACACACCCCCAAATTTCGGGGATTACACTTGTTCTACCAGTTCCAGGCTCGCGCATCCTGAACTGCTGAGAGAAAAAGTTCCAGTCGACTTGTGTACACAACTCAATTAAGCGACGGACTGCTTGATGACATTGGCATTCTCTGCCTGTTGACGAGGTGCAGCTAAGGATCCTGAGGGCCCTGGGAAAGGCTGAGGCCTCACCAGGCAGGGCAGTGGGATCAGCCCACACAGGCCCCATGTGGCTGCTGTGGCCTTCACCCCAAGTCATGTGAACGCCTATCTCGTGCCTCTGTCCCCGCAAGGAAGTCTCAGGAACACAGACTTGATAACTGCAAGAAGCAGTGAGATACTGGGCTGACTTACTTTACAGAGGAAATAAACTGAGAAAATGTCTAGCCAGAGGTCACACTTGTGATTACTGCAGCATGCCTGAACTCAAGCCTCTTGACGTCCAGTCTCATGTCCTTTCGTAATCCTCTTCTTTAAATCCAACGAGACTACATTTTTCTTTGACAGATGATTAGATATAAGAACTTGAGTGCATCCGACCTGAGGCTAGATGAGAAAGATTTTGAATATCTTAGGTAGGATATTGACAGTGGGAGCAAGTTGTGCTTTCTCTTATTTCTTTAAGGAGAAATGCTTGAATAATAAAATGGTGGAATATTATTAAGCCATTAAAAGTTAATATAATGTTAAGCAAGTAAAAGCAAAATACAAATATTATGTACAATGATTTCAGTAACAAGAATGCACAGTATGTACATGTGTGCAAGGATTGGAAGAGTATGAGGAAAAATAAAATTAGTTTGTTTTAGTGCGCGTAGGAAGTACCTTGATACCATCATGCCCTTCAGCCAATCCCACCAGGAACTAAAACTAGTAGTTGAACAAATTACTGACTCTGCAGTGAGGGGGAATGCACACCAAGGGCCATTGTGGGGCCTCTCAGTAAAGAGAATTAGGAAAGACTAATTTCATAATTTGTATTTTGGTTGTGTTAAATCTAACACAAATCTAACACAATTTGTACTTTGGTTGAGGTAAATCTAAAGAATTGGAGGTTCTAGGTTTTAGAAAGTAGGGCAGTTCTATGATTGGGTAAGAAAGAAACAGTCATTTATCAAGAGAAGGGATGTTTAATATTTTGTGGGTTGCATATTACCCTTATTTTGTCTGTGTTTAGACAGAATCATGAGTGGCCTTGCTCTGTCTCATTTTATCTTGTCTCAGAATAGCTTAACTAAATATTCTGTGAGATTTGTTATATTCGACAGGAGAACAAAAATGGCCTGGCTGTGAGTGTCAGACCAACTTGTGATAATACTGAGGTCTAGTTGTAAACCTAAGAGAAGTTTCAGATGTCAGGGGCTGCCTTTTTTTTTTTTTTCTTCTTTCTCAATGCTTTACTTTTTCAAGCAAAAGTATTTTAAAGGCCGTTTTTAGAATAAGAAGAATCAATAGTCTCCATGAATTTAAATTAGTTCTTATCTAGAACAGTGGTTGTCAAAATCTAGTCCAGCCACTGGTATCAGTTTAGGGAAGCTACTTTCACAAGTCTTTAATGAGGAAAATGAGGGCATAAAATTAAAATTCAGTTAAAATGTTAGCTTTTATTCTGATTTTATGGCCATCCATAATGTCCTTTCTTTCTTTTATGTGTATGGGTTTTTGTTTTGTTTATTTTGCTTTGTTTTAACGTCTCCACTTAGAATAAAAATTTGGATTCCCCTGTGCTGGGCCCCTCTTAATTTTTTTTATTTATATGGAAAATTCTGGGAGCCACTGGCTGAAAGGATCTTTGGAACCTCACAGAAGTTTAGTGACCTCACTCTCTGACAAGAGTAAGCAGTTTTTCACTTTGAATCATTTTATATAATCAACTGTTTGTAACCTACAAGGCAACAAAAGATATGTCAAAACTACTTATGATAAATATGAATAATGAGGCCGGCTTTAAATAACAAACAAAAGTCCTTGGATTTGGAATGTCTGTGGGCTTTGTTTTGTTTTGTTTTGTTTTGTTTTTGATGCTTTCCAGAATATGGCATATTTTAAGGTCTTCCTGAGTCATTCTTTACTATTGATTCTATTAAAAGACCTATTAAGAGGTGGTGGTGACAGGAGTGGTACAAAAAAGTCTGGAGAGAGATGGAGACAGCTTCATCCAGGGCTCTGCAGACCTTGTTAAAGATTTTGGAGTGTACCCTAAAAACAACAGGAAGCTGTTGGACGGTTTTAAACAAGATATGACGAGATAACTTTTTCACTTTAGAGAGATCATTTTGGATTTGAAGAGAGCAAGGGTGGTTGTGACTAGTCCAGGGGAGAAAATGGTAAATTACAGGTGGGTGGTGCCAGTGGAGAAGGAGAGAAGTAGATGGTTCTAGAGAAAATTAGGAGATAGAATGAACAGAATGAAGGATTGGATGAGGATGAGAGACAGGCACCTTTCTGAGGTGCTCTGCCGGGTGAATGGTGGTATTACTGCCAGGGAATACACAAAGAGAAAGATTTGGGGATGGAAGAGTAAAGATCATTTTCATTCAGGTTAAGCAAATTGCAGGGGGCACCAAGATATCCATCAGGCTTTTGAGACTGGAGCACAGAAGAGAGATATTTGGAGTCTTAGGCATATTATTTGAAGCCACTGAAGCAGGTGAACATTGAGCAGATAGAAGATATAGAAAGGGAGGAAGAGAAGAGGCTTAGGCAAGGGCCACGTGTCAGATAGAGAAGAAGTGACAAAGTTAAAGCAGCAGCCCAAATGGGAGAGTGTTGTGGAAGCTGAGAGAGTGGGACAGGTTACCTTTATTGAATGCCACTGTGATGTCAAGTGTCTGTTGTTCTTAGCAACTGGAGGGCTTTGGTGACCTTGACCAGAGCAGTGTTTGGAGCAGATAGGCTGAGGAGTGATCATAAGGAAAGGAATTGGAGTGGGAGAAATGACTGTTCTCAGTAAGAAATCTGAGATTTCTAGAATGTGTAAAACTGAAATATAATGATGGGTCAGTAATTAATTGCTGAATTGAACTTATTTTTATGCATCATCTTCTCGTATGAATAATGACATTGTTGGCATGAGCTACTGAATCAGCTTTTAGCAACAATTTCCACAAAGTTTCCAAAAATCACAAAAAACCCATCTGGCCTGCCCACTTTTATTGTAATGCATCTGCTTTTAACGTGTTGATGAACAATTTAGAAAGGTTCTTGTTCTTGTGGAGGGTTTATTAACATTCTTTTTACTTAAATACCTGTAACTTAATAGGGTGCCATCCCATCAAAGGTCAGAAAACAAGTGAAAAACTTTGCATGCTCATTTGAATTTGCTATATATGCAAGAAACATGCCTTTTCTTATTTGTTAGGTGTGTATCTGCTCTGTTGTACATAGAGAACATTTTAAGATAAATCATATTTAGAAAATAGTTGTTGAGTTAAAATTGTCTTGCTAGAATTGTTCAGCTCCTCTTCTGATGATACAAACACTGGTGTCTGTGATGTAATTTCTTAAATTACCTTTCATTGCCTTTTTCTGGGTATGTGAATAAGAATCACACGAGGGCTTCCTGAACTTTTTTTTGTACAGTCTTTTCATTGAGGTTCTCACTAATTCTGCAGGACTCAAATATTTTAAGGAGCTTTACTAGTTATTTCATTTCTTTTAGGTTTGGAGCCTTCAGATCGCTAATGGAAGAATTTTCGCTTTATTATTTCCCCAAACATAGTATATCTAGTAGCTCTATTATTAGTTTTTCTTAATGAGTGGGGAGGACATAAAGACTGATTAATTTCAAAGAGGTTCAAGTTTCTGTCAAGTAATCAGAATGATCAGAGAATTCACTGACCCAGAAAGTGTTAACAAAATGTTTTACAGAGATTTTCACCTCTTTCTCTGGCCTTAGGAAGCAAAAATGAGAAAGCATGTGAGAAAGATTGATTGAGATTCTAAATTGATTGTGTTTTTTCCCCTGTGACATAGTAGCACAGTAATAACAAGCAGACAGCGTGATATCCCTAACCTATCTGTTTATAATCTTTACCTCTCATCTATTTAAATTTGTTCTTACCTTGATAAGGTTGTCTATTATTTAAAACCGTAGGTAGTTAAATTTGGAGACAGTAAGAAATTTTAAATAGGAAATTAGTTCATTGTAATTCTATTTTAAGCCTGTACATAGATTTTGAAGCTGTCTTTCCTTGTAGAAGTCTCCCTTTTAGGTGATGATGTAGCTATCTCCAGTTTATTCCCAAATCTAACCTGTTTAAAATGACTTAACCTTTTATTCTTACAGCCAGATTCTATGCAGATTTCATGTCTGTATATTTCATGTTTATCTATTGCTGCTGGGATTATCATAGTAAAATGCCTCATCGACTTCAGACTCCTGCATGTGTGATGACTGGGTTGCTCACTTAACCTCTGAGGCAGGTTGAATATTCTTTTAAGACTTGACAGCACTTTTTACTTCCCTCACAGTTGTCTTGTAAGAAATAAGACTTGTTGTTTGATTTTTATATTGGCTTTGGAACCCCTGTCATGCAAATATAATTGTTAAGGAGAGATGAGCATCATTATGTTTCATTTACTTCCAACGATTATCAAAAGCCTTGAAAGAAGTGCAGATTGTACCCTAGGAATTGAATTGAGGCATTGTCTTTATTGTTATCTCTGTAGGGAGCTATGAAAGAGCAGGGGAAGCTGGGAGTGGGGATATAGAGACTGGTTCTGTCACCCACTGTGTAACCTAATCACTA